CACCAGTAATCTTGATACCTTAATTTTCTTTCTATTTGATTAAAACCGCATGTGTTTAAGAAGGTGATCTTTTGGCATACTTCCATTTGCATTAACAGTGAAATTTCCTTTTATACATGACCACTGTTTCAGACCTGTGCAGCTGCTATAACAGATAACTTTTGTTCTTAATTGAGTATTTCAAAACTGTTCCTGCATAACTATTTTACTGATTTTTCAGACTAGTTATAAAATTTAAGTGTAATGTGCTTAAGCCTTCAGTTTAAAGTAGTCCACTTCAAAATTCAGTGTAGAAAAGTCATATGTGGTATGCATAGTTACAAAAATTGCATCTGTCCTTAAAACGCTGTTTTGTTTGAGTGGTGGGGAGTGGTTGAGAACTTCCTGCAGAGCAGATAACTTCTGTTTTTGTAAATACTCAAGCATTTGAATCTTTTTTTTTTATATATATATATATATAATTGAAACTTATTGCTCTCATGCTTATACTAAAAATCTGATTCTCTTGAAATCCTGTGTTTGCTCTTTGCATATTTATTGGCTCTTTGCATATATTAGACTACATGCAATACAGTCTGTCTTGCCATTGTCTGTTGAAGTGCAGGTTTGATCCAGCCAGTATAGAACTAGCTCTATAGGGGTGAGGAGGACTGTGCTGTGTATCATCCTTGATTGTTCCTTCAAGGAGCATTGCACTGTAAGTACATCAGAATGACAAATTGATGAACTGCAACAGTATCTTTTTGTCAATGTTCCACATAATGAAAATGCCATACTTGTGTGACTATTATGTTGGAATACAGTGCTGATATCTTAGGAAATCGTAATTGCTTCTTAATTCAGGAACATAGGTTTGCATATATATATACACATACACATAATATGAGCTTTGTGGGTAAGTATTCCTGAAACGCTTAGCAATAGCTAAAGAAAATCATGTTTCTGTTTATCCGAGTAAGTTTTTTTCATTAGTACTCTTGAGTCAGCTGTATGATTCAGTGTTTTAAAGTATGCGTATTGTAACATTGAAGTCTTTGGAGCCACTTGTTAGACAGAAGTTGTCTTTGTCTTCAGATAGTTTGCAGATACATAGTGATGTAGGTATGTTTTAAATAATTCTATAACTTGCTTTATCTTTTGGAACATCGTATTGTTGCTTTGAGAATAAATTTTTTTAGGGTGGCTGCACAGAGAAGTAAAAGTTAAGGCTTGAAAATTGAAGTAGTTTATTCAGGTAATTAGCAATGTATGTATTGTGCTGTAGAAATAGAAGGAAGTATTTTTATCCTTTTTTAAAATTAGGAATTATTCTGGTAGCTTAAAAAAAGGCTAGGACAGTATTTGCTATCTTCAGTGTAGGGTATGAAGTTTAATAGTTCAGATATTTTGCATGGTATTTTGTAGATAAACTTAGAATGGTGCATTTATTATGTGCTGAACTGAGCAAAATTAAATTCACTGGATTCTCTATCATTCACAACATGGAGGCTGTTGATTTTGATTCATTTAAGGTATAAAAATCTTTATTAATTGCAAACAGTGCAATTATTTATACTTCACAGTGCCTTCCCAGACCTTCCACCTTAGGTTCTGCTGCAAAAAAGCAACAGGTAAGCACAACCTAAGGAAGTATATAAATTAATATATTTTAGTACATTAATGTTGTCCCTGTGAGATCTTTGTGGTTGTGTATTGAAAAGCAATCTGCTGCTTCCCCAAATGCATTGTTACTCACGGTTCCATTTCAGTGGAAAGTCTTTTAAGTTTTTAAACAACTGTTTATATTTCTAGGTAAATATGTTTTGGGGTTTTTTTGTGTTTTTCTTTTTTTAGAAAAGATGAGTAGATTGCAGTAATTAAACTTAATCAGAATAAGTAATTTTTGTTATTTTTCCTCAAATAGCTAATTGTTGCAATTAAAGAATCAAAACCTTTAAAATAATGCAGGAATTACTTTGGTTAGAAACGTCAACAGCCTTCACAAATGTTTTTTATAATAGGGCACTTTTCCCACTTAAATCCATAAGACCTAAATATAAAGAATATGACTTCTTGTTGTTATCACTGAACTTGATAACTTGTTTTACAGTTATAGTGCGTTAGTGGAATTTTTAGATAACTTAGTTTGCTTATTCATACTTGACATGGTAGGAAAACATTCTGGAGTTTGAGATTAGTATGTTTTAACTGAAAAAGCATGTGCACCAATTAAATGTTAACAGTACAGCAAATAATATTTTATCTATATAGCAGTCAGTGTATCCTGTTTCTTGATACTTTAACTGCATTGCTCTGTATTTTGATAGTTTAAAATGTTTGTATGTCTTATAGATGGTCTGGTACAGGTTTTTGTTTCTGGTTTTTGTTTCTTGTTTTTGTTTTTTTTAGCTTAAAGTAAAGCAGCATCTATTTGGTTTTTTGTTGATTATTCTGTTTCTAAAAATGTGCTGCTCCTCTTTCAAAAGTCCTGCTTATCTGTACCTCAAAGAAAAATATTCAAAAATACTGCCTTCATTTTCACACACAGTGCTGAAGATGCTGCAAGCACCAAATCATAGCTCATAGAATCAGGTCCTGAGATAGTTACTACCAGTAAAGAGGAATCCTTTGAGTGTATGCCATTGGTGAGCCGATGAGCATGGACCATAGAAGGGCTCCATGTAGAAGGTAAAATTGGCAAAAACAGATTTGAAATGTATCCCATACATAACGGTGTAGGGTATAATTTTTGGTTTGATCACTTTTCATTCTTTAAAGTATTATATGTTTGACCATAAATGTTCCATAATCTGTTAAGTTTTTTGAACTGTGATTTAATAATATAAACCATCTATTTCGATTTATATTCTTCTAAACAGCCAAGTGTAGATATATTGAATTTTTGAACTAAATCAATAGTTGTGCTTCAGTTTCTCAAGCCACATCTGTAGTTTAATATGTAACTTCATTTTTGATGTGAGAAAAGGTTAGGTGTGTACCATTTGGATTTTGATACTGTGAATTTAGTGTTGGGGTGAGTCATTTGTTCACTTCCTTTTACATGATAACTTTTCTTCTTCAACTGTTGTTGCTAAAATATCTTAACAGACTTTCAATTGTAAATTTAGCCAGTGGGAGGAGATAGAGAAGAAAAAGCCAGATCACTGGAATGTTGCTAGTGTGTGGGAGATGAGATGTTCTTGTGTGTAGCATTTAAGGTGTATTGACTTCCAGCTTTCTCACTGCTGAGCTTATAGGCATGCTATTTTGTGCTAAGCATAGTGTTTATTTTTCAACTCTGTCTCCAAACTCATAGGCCTTAGCAGAACAGAAAATAGACTATAGAAGTTATCCTAATCCGAAAAGATAACTGGACTTCCTTAGAAATGTAATGAACTTGTCCAAAAGGTGTCTTTAAATGTTTCTTCCTTCCCTGCCTCCACTTTACAGTCCCACAAATTAAGTAGAAAGTGAAGAGTATTAAAAGCTTAAAAAGGAAGCATGATGTTCAAAGTAGGAAAAGCATTTTTGTATCTCTTTCCGCAGCCTATACTTTAATAGGACATTAAATAAAATGTCAGGTGGATAATCTTCAGTCTAGCATGATCGTATGTCATCTATTTAAGTTGTCCAGGCAGACAGGATCATCATTCACTTGCACAGCCTATCTCGAACTATTACATCTTTTTACTAGTGGTATTTTATTGAATGATAGAAACTGTTTCTCTCCTGTTCTCTTCCAAAGTAATTTTTAAGTTTTCCATTGCATGCAAAAAGCTTTTTATTTTGCTTTTTTCTGGAAGTGGAGGGAGGAGGGGAGGACTGGGCTTTTCAGAAAGCATACAGTTGACAGGATTCCCTCTTCCCTAGTAATAGCTTATAAAACTCTTATGTATGCACAACTATTTCTCTTGCGTGCATGTGAAATGCCTTTTCGTCCTGAGAAAAGTGTTCTCTGCAGAAACTACCCGTGTGTAAAAAGAAGATTGGCTTTAAAAGGCAACTGTGATGGGAACAGTGTCTTAGGGAGATGCAGCTTGGACTTGAGGTAAATTGAATGCTTTACAAAAATGTGGGTTTGAGCTTGCATTGACATTGTATGTAATATGGGTACACATTAACTGTATAATGGTTTTTGTATGGTTTTTCTCAATAAATGTAAACTGATGGATAATAATAGCAATGTTTTTGTCTTTTTTGTGCTCCTATCCCTGTATTCATTAGTTTGAAATAACAGCTTCAGAGGAAAGGTATTGCAGCAACTAGTACTTCTGCAAATGAACATCACCCACATGAAATTAAGTAAAATATATTTATATGGCTGTTAGGATAAATACTCATTCAAAATATCATGCAGCTTATTTCCATTTTTTCCAAGATGTTCTGAATTTGTAACTATTTTATTGAGGCAAAAGAGTGACTTCCAATAGGTAACTGTACAAAGAGCAGTCAGCAGATTTAACCACAGGAAAATTTCTTTCTGAAATAACTGCATAAATCTGATTTGCTGCAGCTTACCTTGTCTTTATGTTAAGGCTTATACACATGTTCTTTCATTTAAAATGTGACTATTTTTTATAAAATTACGCCTATGGAAGCTTAAGCAGAACAATTCAGATGGTGTTAGCACAATGACGTTAGTGTTGATATCAAGAGATCTTAGAGAAAAATAGTATAGTAGCCTTAAGAAGACAATCTTTAGAGATGCAGCAATAAATTTATTGCATTAAGAGAGAATAGATTGAGAAGTTAAGCAGTTTCTGAAAAAGATTTTCTTAAAACTTGCTTCCTATGAATTTAGCTATGATAGGCTTATATTTTGTCACCAACTGTTCCTGTATCATTTAAGCAGTGAAAAAAATTAGAAGTTTTACAAGCACTGCAAGCCTTGCTGAGATTGTTTTTACTTTTGGATTATCAGCTGCATAGATTGGTAAGAGCCTAACAGTTTAAATGCAAGCCCATTTTAAAACAAAAGAACTAATGCTCTTTGAAGCAAAACAACAAAAGTGAGCAGTTACGTCATCTTTTATTCTTTAAAAATAGTACACTGGGGTTTTTGAAAATCATCAATAACTATTTCCTTTTGCCAGTTCAATGCCTCTGGGATAAAGTAAAACAGCTTAAATATTCAGTGTTCATGCAAAATATACCAATAGATGTACACTACTACACAAGTTTCCAGATTGCGTATTTAGCTTTATACTATTACACAACAGTTGGTCTTCAAATGTGAGAGCACTTTTATAATTCAGCTTTTTCCTTTAGCTGATCTTTCATACATTGATTCCTTCTTTTTAGCCTTTGGTACTAATTTTTGTACTGAGCAAGGAACCTGGACACTCTCACAGTTTGAAGGTTATTCTCATCTGATGCAGGAATGACAATCAATGCATATTCTCGCTTTCTTTAGTTGGCCCCATCAGAGAAAGAGATGATGCAATAAGAAAGTTTTGAGGGGAAGAAAGATTCCAGCTAAAGTAGAGCATTTAGTAGTCATCAGCTAGAAAATAAGAGTTAAGAGAAAGAGATAATTAAATTTTTATAATAGGAAAGATGCAAGAAGAATATTTGATAATGAAGCAAATTAAAATGCTAACTCTTACTTTCAATGGTGAGAATACAGGTGCTAGCAGATGTGCCTCTGTTGTTGACTGCTTTACACATATATTCCCCTTCATCTTCTGGGAAGGTTTCTGGCAAGTAAAGGCAATAGGTTTCTCCTCTTTCAATATACTGATAGTCCTCAGAGTCCTGCAACATTTCCCCCTCAAACCACCATGTAACTTCAGGTTTTGGTTCTCCAGTAATTTTAACTGTAAATCTCACTGGCTCGCCATCAACAACTGATGTGTTTTTCAGTGACTTCTTGAACCAGGGAGCTCCAGATCGAGCTTGATCCTCCTCGTCTTCGCAAGTAGAACCATTAATAACACTTCCCTCCTCCTCTTCTTCCTCTTCTCTTTTCTGTTTTAAAATAAGTCAATTTAGAGCATTTAAACTGACAATAGCAGTATTACTGCTAGTGATATATTTGATTACAAAAAAGTTACCACTTTTCTGAGAAGGGGAAATGCCACACCTATCCTCACTAGATAACAATGCACTGAATCCAGATATGGAACAGGCAGTAAAATGGATTTTAATGAGGCTGGAATACTGGGGTGAAATACAGGCATGAATGTAGATTCCATTTTCAGACTATTTAAAGGATATGATGGACCTTCTTTACAGTATTTCTCTGACTCTTCAAGAACACATGAAAACACCAAAAGCAATTTTAAGTTATTGCAGCAATTCACAGCAGCTGTAAAACAAGTATAACGTTCCTTTTATACTTCTGGCAGTGGTGCCATCAGTGGTAATCAGATGCTAAGCTAAATGACGCTTAGGGCTGAAGAAAAGGTACTTTGTAATTTATACCTTCTGTAATGCCGCATCAATTTCTTTTTGTTCAAACTGCATGCGTAGTAATTTCTGTTCTTCAATTCTCCTCTGCTCCTCTTCTTCCCTGGCTCTTGCCATTTGTTCAAAACGGGCCTTCATGTTCACTTTATGAGTAAACGGAGCCTCAGATTTCTTGGCTGGTCTCACATCTACCTCATCATCCTTGGGAAATAAAAAAATAAGATTTAACTCATTTATTACCTTTTAAATATGTATGACAATAAACCTAGTTTTGTAGAGCAATAGTTCTTAACTGAGCAAAGCTGTTCAGAGTGCCAGTTTTGTCAGAGGTTTGTTTAATGTTGAGTTTATGATGAAGTCTTCTAATAGTTTACTTTTGCAAGTATTTTGCCCTATCTCTGAGATAATTTCAAAAATGTTAAGTAGAAAAATACTAGATTTATTTTCATGTAGAAGTAGAATACTGTCTTGTGGCAATGGTAAGTCCTTAGTAATTTGACTTCCATGCCATGATGCTATGGTAGGTTCAACAACTAACATAGGTTGACCTTATAGAAACATAATTATTAGGTCAGTCATTAAAAGACAGGCTTTGAGCTGATACTGAAGTGACTGACCACTGTGGATAGGAACCTCAGAATGAGGCTCAGGTCAAGCTTACTTACTGTTAAGTTTCCTGCATGGCCACAGGATTATGTTACGAAAGCTCACACTGGTGTTTTGGGTCATAGAGCATAGTGATTTATTGGTTAGACTGGTATCTTCATTTCTTGTTTTTCTCCTTTGAAGAAATGTGAGATTCCAGTCTGAAGCATAGATAAGTAGGCATCCTTTTCTGCTCTACCATGAGAAATGAGTAAAAATGATAAAAAGACTTGATCTTCAAATAGTATTGTTTGTTTTGGTTTGGTTTTCGTGGTGTGTTTTTGTTCATACAGTGAAGAATGCATCAGAGTTCAGAAGACCAAGCAACTCGTATGACAATAGATTAATTCTCAAATACCAATGTTTCATACCCTCATGCTGGCAGGTTTCAGGTTGTTAGGATGCTGAATCAAGGACTTTGAGCAGAAAACCAGATCTCTGCCTGACCAGATGACTGATAACAAACTGGTGCTTTTTCCTTTAGGGATGCTGAGGTGAGACTTCCTCATGCATCCAAAGGAGGGAACAGGAGAGAAGGGAGAAAATCATCTTGTAAATGTAGCAAATTTTGGTGAAAACAGCAGGACTGTCCACTCCTGGATCGTTAGTGTACTAGCTAAGTATATCATTAACATACACAGAATGCAATTTACCTCTTGAAATTTTTCAGCTTCCCTTTCTCTTATTTCTTCATCCATTGCTCTTCTCTTGGCTCGCTCTTCTTCAATCTTCTTCTGTATCTCTTCTTGAGACAACTGTCCTATCTTTTCAAACTTGCTTTTTAAATTCTTTGCCTGAATAGAACCACTTCTTTTTAACTTTATTAATTCTTCATATTCTTTGCTTAGCTCAAAAGTTTCAGATTCTTCTTCCAGCTGTTCAGAAATTACAGAACGTTAAGATGGAAAATGCCCTAGTTATTTTTACTACCTGTTCTCCCCACAGATAGGTGTAACTTAAAAAACTTGAACAGTTCTCCTAGTTATTTGAAATCAGCACAGAGACCTTTTCCCTCTAATTTCTTTTTTTCCCTTGTTATTCTCAGGATTATTGTGCTTGTATCACATCTAAATTAGATACAGATTTTAAAATATCTTGCTTGAATGTACCGTTTGTTCAAGGATTGCTGTCAATTAACCACCCTTCACAGACTCAGAAAACCAGACACCTAGCAATACAAAAAACTTAAGTTATCCTGGATCCATAATTTGCCTCTCTGATTTACTTCAATATGATATGAAATAATTTTCTAAAATACAACTACTTTGTTAAACAGAAAATTACTTTTTTTTAATAATTCAATAAAAAGCAAATTAGATTTCAGGATGTCATGGCTGGAAAAGAAATGGCAGTTCTGGATCCTGTAGTCAAACCACGTCTGAAGCTGTGATTATTGATATTTTATTCCCTCCTTTTATGACTGGCAGTAAAGATGTACGTGCATTTTAGTTGGATGTCCCTGTGTCTCCTTTCTTCACCAGGATGTAATACAAAATTTACCTGAAAAGTTTGCAATCTAGAGCCTTTATTACTCTAGCTTTGCTTAACAAAAATAAATAAATAAATGCAGTCCTCTAACATTCAAAAGGGAATAATAAAGAATTGCCACCCACAGCCAAATCAAATTGAAGTGTAAAGTTCATGAACACGATGTTCTAGACATTTGGCATGCAAAGCAAATTTTGTGTGTGATTTTTAAAATCAACTGTGACAGTCTTCTCACCCTTGATACACTGATTAGAAATAAGTTGGGGCCACTGTAATTCTTTCCGAATTACTTAATACAGCATTCCTTTGAGGAAAAGCAAGAATTTTGCTCTTTCCTACTTTCATTTTTGTATGTTCATTTGGGACTAGAGGTTTGTGTTCTCCCAATATTCTAAACATTATATAATTGTTTTAGTAACACTGTAGAATTTCCAGAAGTGACTGTAAAATTTGAAATTGTGTTTTTACTTTAAGGGTGGCAAGGGATAAAAGCATTTTCCTGGTAGATCAGTGATAAAAATATGTATCTTACTATATACAATGTTATGTTTAAAAAATACTTTTCTATTTTTCATTCTTTTCACCTCATACTGAAACTATTGATTTAAAGACATTTTCAGCTACAGTCTTAAACCTTGAGATTTTAGTAAATAACTGATCTATTATATTTTTATTCAGAGCATGCTTAACATGTCCTTTGATATACAAACCTCTCCCATTTCTTGTCTCAACTGTTGAAATTCTTGCTTTTCCATTTCCAACTTTTGCCTACGCTCTTCTTCCGTGCGTCTCTTTTCTTCTTCCATTTTTTGTCTCAGCAACTCCTCAAAATTAATTTCCAGTTTACCAGGTATGAGAGATTCTTGAGAAAATGTTTTAAACATTTCTGGTGATTCATCATCCAGCACCTGCTGGAAATTCAGAGCATTAATGATACAGTCTGAAGGCACCTGTGATGAAATCACAGCATTGCTCAGACCCTTCTATGGACATAAAGATAATGAATTGTTTTGCCATATCTGCCACAGTACAGTAAGATGCAATATGACAACGCAGGCATAGTTTTGGGAGGGAGTGTGTTTGGGGAGTTTTATATTTCATTTTAGCTCTTTATTATTACAATGCTACACTTTTTTAATAGAGATGAAGGTGTTTATTAAAATGTGATCTTTTTTGCAAGATGATGGAGAGGATGTGCTCTAAATACAGCTTTGGGACCTGAAACAATTCCCTCCTGTTTACTTCACAGACTATCATTAGGCAAAGTGCTTGTGTTTAAATGTCATTGCTCTTAACACTCAAGTACATAAATCTGTAGTCTTTTTCTAAGGAAACTAAATTTTATTCCTGTTCTTACGCAAAATTAGTATTCCTAGTAAGGATAACGGAACAGATTTTTCTACAAGAAACTCTTCTTGTGCGCAAATTGATTATACTAAGTGACATTGCCAGTTCATTGCTTTGTACAACCCAACAGCAAGGGTTTCCTCCTTTCCCTGTCCTTTTCTTAGGCTTCAGAGTACGATTAGGCATTGACGGTCATTCATGAGCAACTTGCTTTTTCAGGAGATGATGGAAGGGCCTAGGAAAGGCAATTTTCATTACTTCGAAAAACAGGAATTGTAAGAACAAATATTTTATCAGATGGACTTTGTTGAGGAAAAGCATTACTAAAATATGAAGCTGTATGCTTCAAAAACGGCCAGGTAGCCTGACTGAGTTATGCAGGAAGATTTTAAAATAACTTCTTGATAAAATCTCTAGAAATGTATGTTTGTGCATGTAACTACATAGCCTTATTAACAGATTGTCACAACAGGAACATTTTATAGATAAATGTGTGAGATGAGGTCAGATACCAATCTAGACATGTGTGGTGATGTGGCTTTTGGCACTATTTAATCTGCGCATGTTTGAAAAGCCTTGTGGCAAACACTGAAGAGCCCAATGTGCCTTAAATTGTAGGCATTCCCAACAGTAGTAATCAGTCAAATGCTAGAAAGAATTAAAGTAGCAAAAGTTTCATTTGAGAAAGTGTTTTGACTAGCATTATAAAGAAAGAGAAAATAAACATTTTTTAGAAGACTCTTTGGCACACCCTGTTCTATTTATTGCTACTTGCTGCCATTGTAACTTACACCTTTCACTGCTGTTGGTGCCATCGTAGTTCGTATCACAGTCTTGACCTACTTCGCCCATATCCTTTTTATCTGTCACAGCTCTTTTGATATTTTTTTTGGCCCAATCCCACTCAAATACTGCTATTCACTATAGATTTCCTTCAGATTTTCCCTCTGAGTAAGCTTACAGTTGGACTTCAGCCCCACCTTTCCTTCCATTCTTCATTCGTTTTGCATAGAATGAGCATATTTGTTGAAATTGTTACGGAGAAGTAGAGTCAAAAAACAAAGCTGTAAGCTATTTCCTCTAATGACAACAATGCGTAGCCACATAGTTTTCGGAGGCTAACCACAGCTAAATGACCACAGTAACATGAAAGTCTATGGCTTGTGATGCACTAGCTCATATGCTCGCTGCTTCAAGAAGACATAGAACCTACGTGAATTGGAGAAGCATCGATTCAACACATCCATATATAAGCTTTAAAAAGCTGTGCATAGGAGCAAACACCAGCAGCTCTCTGCCCTGTATTTTTGAATCAGTTTGTTATAAAAAGACAGTAAACCAGCTTCTTCCTGGTTAAAAAACAGGAAAAAATTCAGCTGAATTGTGATGTACAAAACGCTTGTGGTTAGTTCAGTAAATATTTTAGCCACACTTTGTGAAGTGAGACAATACTTTTTTTGGTATGAGTAGTGATGGTGTGATGGTAGTGAGCAACAGTCTTGTAATCATAGTTTGCAGCACAGCCAACCACTTTTCAGTGTCCAAACAGCGCCCAATATGAAGTAGAAGGATTTTTTATTCGTGCTAAGACAGGTTCTTTATGCAGTCTCTAACAGAAAGAGACTGACCAGGACGAAAGATGAATGCTTCAGTCTGAAAGTGATCACGTTGACGATAGGAACCGTGAAAGTATAAATGTAGCACAAATAAATGTGAAATAGGGAGATCCTTCCAAAAGGAGGTGGCATTTGTCTTTTCCAGCAACAATATTACTACTCTGAATATACTTTCAAAACTAAATTAAAATGAATAAACATGAAAAACATGCAAAAGGTTCTGAAATAACTACTTAATTTAAATGCCTAAATAAAAATTTAATATGAAGTTTTACTACTTCTGAAAGATGACTAATATGTTCTTAAAATGTTTAAAAGCACATCTGCATTGCTGCTACATTGTGTAGCTATAGAAAACAGAGAAAGCATCAGCTTGTATTTTCTGTTACTAGTAATAGAAAATGTGGTGTTTGTATTCAGGATGCTAATTAACAGAAAATTTTCAAATGTATATATGCTGAAAATACATTTTTAGTTAATTTTTTGAATTGCTGAATGTCTTCACTGTCTGCTGCTACAGTGCAATCATACTGTCTGCTGCATCTAATGGATTAAACCCTGTTTAATCAGTGAGACTTTTCTTGCCCAGACACTCAAGCTTAGGTTCTTGCTACATTGAGGCAGAAAAAAAAGATTCTCAAGAAAGCAGGAGAAAACTGAAGGTGGCACGTGCTTTCTTTGCTTTCCTTCACAATTTCTATGAAAAGCTAGCAGAAATCCAACAGCACTCTCTTTTCTTTTTTCTTTTTTCTTTTTTTTTTTTTCTAGCAGCTTTAGCTTCTATTTTCTGTCTTTGGAGGTATGGACAGACACTTATTTTCTATAATTGCTTACCAGTACAGTATCAAATATGGATTTACATTGTAGTTTCTCTGGGTAGTCTTTCAGCATAGAGGTCTTGTCTTTGGCTCAATTTTCAGGCAGAGGGAGCACTGCTAATAATAGTAGTAGTAGTCATACAAAGCTTTATTTTGTTTCAAATGCATTGCTTTGTATGATGAAGAAAATATTATTAGGCATTGGTCTTTCCCAATAAAACCACAGAGGGGAATGTAGGAAGGCACTGCCAGGTGGGCAGGTTATTCCACAGTTCTTGCCCTTGAACTTGGTGTATCTTGCCCTTCTTTTGAAACAATACTTAGTTTCAGTTGGTAGTTGTGTAATTTAATACTGTATTTCCTAACATCTACCAATAAGTAACTGGCTTATACCCAAAAGCCTGCTGAAACTTGAAGTTGTTGGAATAAGCATGAGGAATACAGTGAAAAGCTCCACGCTGGTTATTTTTCATTTATAATGTTGTTGCCACCCTCCGAAATCAGGTATCTTCCTCTGCTTTCAGGTAGTGTCACTATGTCAATCCTAGGTCCCTGAAAATTTGTCTTCAGTATAATCTTAACTCAAATTTTAGAAATCATTGCATATCATGGAGATCTGTATTTGTCTAAGGAAGTTCCCTATTACAAATTGTTCTAATGGTAAATGCCAAAAGTTACTGTTTCTCTGAACAAGCAATGAAATACAATAAAAACATCAATTAGCTGAGTTCAGCCTTCTTAATTTTTCCTTCCTAAAGGGCCACTGATGACTATAAAATTTACACTTGCAGTGACCATTTTTCTCATTTGCCATTAATTATGCTTTAGCTAGTAAGAGCTTGTTGGTGGACAGCCTGTAAAGGTAGGGAGCTAAACTTGGAGAACTGAAAGTAATTGCTCCTCCCTCAAAAAGAACAACCAGCAAGCTCTCCTTGTCAAAACATTTGGCTTTCCAAGTTTGCTGCATCTAATGTAACAATACCCGTTGACACACTATGTGGTTTTGACTAAATTATTTGAAATCCTTTCTAGGCTTGCTGTGAGGAGGGATTGTTCTGTGATGATTTTTGGTAAATGAACTTGATTACTTTACCCCCTACCTTCTAATAAGTAGCGAGGTGAACTAATTAATGAAGGAGTGAAGCATGCATTCCTAACTGTATTTAAAGGCTTTTCCCAGAGCAGCTTTCTAGTTCATTGGAGCCTTAGATATTAAACTACTTACTAAACAAAAATGTCATACCATGTTCTTCCGTGCTTCAGCAAATGCTCTTTTCTCCTCTTCTATGCGTCGTCTTGCATCTTCTTCTGCTTTCCTCTTTTCCTCTTCTCTCCTCTGTCTTTCTATCTCCTCAAAACTGAGTCTGAGTTTACCAGGACGGAATTCTTTAACAGAATTTTCATATTCTTCATCACCACCTTCATTTATCTTCAAGGAAGAGGGAGAGGAAAAAATAGAAAGGACTTATCCAAACATAAAAATATTCTTTGTAGTAAATAAATACTCCATTAATTCTTTTCTGATCTTTTAGAATTTTTTTTTTTTCCTGGGGGAAAAAATGTATCAAGAGTTTGGTTCCTATAAGAAACATTTTAGTCTTGGTTTTAGCTAAGGGAGGAAGAAAAGAAATGTATTTCAGTATCCTATATGTAGCTTCTATATTTTTTAAAAATCTGTTGAGTGTGTAATTCAAAGAACCAGGTGTTATCAGGAAAAGGCTGAACAATTAAGTACACATTTTATGGTTTCAGGGTTGAATCCTTTCCTGTAAGTCACTCCCTATTCACTTTCTTTACATCACTTTCATAGACCTTCATACCATCAAGTCTTTTTGTTTGCATATAAATCGTTTTCACCTATCCACTTACCAGTTAAAAAAAATGCTGTAAAGTTTCATAGCAAAACTAAATCAATTAATGTTTTGCTATTACTCCAGACTGAGATTTTTCTTTCTTTTCTTTTCAGACATTTAATCATCACTGAAGAAAGGGAATTGAGATACTCTGATCTCTTCACTATTGCTTGTCTCCAGTGAACACTGAGCAGATAAGAGAAGCCTGTGGTTTGCAAACTGCAATCAAGAACAGAAGAATGAACCATCTTTAGAAGATATCTCAGAGTACTTTATTTGTTAATGGAGGAAATTGACTGGTAACGGTCAAAGCATATAGATATTCCAGATTTCTGTATACTGCAGGCAGCTCTAAGACTGGGATGTGGGGTAGCCAGTTAAGGGAATTATAGAAATCTTTTATTTGGAATTCATAGGGAAAAAAGAAAGAATTAAGGAAATTAACTACTGAACTCTTCCTTTAAGAAAATTTTTGACTTCAATTTTGACCACTGATGTCAGATGAAACTGCATGTTAGAAAATTTATTTTGAAATAGAGAATTTGTAAATTACTTTATATTACTTGGTTAACAAATATATACATAAGGGTGGGAGATGCGAACAAAACTTCAGTTAGAATGGCTAGTGACTTCATGAAGTTCACTCCTTCATTTTCTTCCTTCTTCTGCTTCACTAATATACCCTACCCACCCTCAAATAAAAAGAAAAAAGTGCCTTATTGATGTAATGTCAGGGTTATGGTGTGGAAAGTTATTGGAGGTGGGGGTGGAAGAGTAAACTACAATTTGTGTATCTGCCTAAACCTAGAACCCTCTCAATTTGGACCAGTTGGGAATTTCAGTGTTTCAGCTTTCTGAAGGTTCTGTGTTTGGTTGTTTTTTTCTTGGAGAATATAAATTTCTTGAATGTTTTTGAAATATAGTCAACATAGTGATCTTGAGCTGTTTGTCTAAGAATGTCCATTCATAATTATATTCTTTTTAAGTTAAAGTTAGCAAATTCCTAGAAGTAATATTTTCAAAGATTTCATGGAAGATTAAAGTCTCATTTCTCAAAAATCTTCTTTGTATGTGAATTAACAAAGTCATAATGATCATGATTGTATGGGGGGAAGATATTTAAATATAGAACTTAAAAAAATGCTTTTGGAAATGGAGTATAGTGAAGTGAGGCAATATAGAACTAAACTATCTGATATAAATTATGTTCATACTAAGCATATGGTTCATTTAGTATGATCCAAGAACAGACTATACTGAGGTTTGTTTATAGCTGATCTAGAATAAGTCTTGTTTATGATAAAGAACATGTATGGAGGAAGTTTGGCAAGTAATAGGAAAAAAAACAGGAATTGCAAGCTACGTTTCTGACAATTTGGGTGTTCATCTAGTAATTTCTAGAATATTGTTGTTTATACCAATACATACAAGAGAGCTGACCTGTCTTTGTTTCCTTTCCTCATAAGAGGAAACTTGTAATGGATATATTTATCTATCATATTTATAAATAAATATGGGAATAAGAAATAGCATTCTGTTCCTACAGAATGTTTTCATCAAAAACTGGTTACTGAAACATCTGAAGCATTATTTAAGAGCAAAACAGACAACTAATTATTTTCTTGAGGACTTACAGATTAAGGTACTGCAAAGCGTAGATATAAAACCAGCCAAGATTGCTGGCAAATTTCAAACAGAAATTTCCTGGGTTTACTAAAAGGATGTCTAAAGTATTATACCAGTGTGGTTACTGAGTTAGATCTAAGGTCAAAACTACATCTTTGGAAAATTAATGGTGATGCAATTTTCAGACTCTTAACAGCTTGAAATGTAGTTAAGGAATAAGAAAAAAGAAGAATCAGATACAGGAAAGAATGTAAAAGTGTATCTTATGTGAAAGTTCTGTAACAACATGAAAAAGATGTGTATTTACCATTTGCTGTCTAGCTTCTTCAAAGGCACGTTTTTCCTCTTCTAAACGCTGTCTTGCTTCTTCCTCTGCTTGCCGCCTCTGATTTTCCTGTCTTTGTCTTTCAAGCTCTTCAAATGTTACTTTCAGCTTACCAGGAGACAGAGGCTCCTGTGTTTCACTGTCTTCATTTTTACCCTGTGTAAGCAAAATGAAATCGTTATATCTTAAATAATAGGTATTTATTTTTTAGTTATTTTTAGATGAGTGGTTTACCATGACAAATGAAAGGCACTTGGTTTCCTTAAGGAATTGGTTTTGTTCCTCATATTTTAGCTTCATTTCTTCATTCTGTCTCTCTCTTTGTTCTGCTCTCTCCTTTCCTGTGTTCTCAAAGTTTGTTTTCATCTTCCCAGGTGTTTTGGTGGGTTTTACAGGCACTACTGTAACTAGCAGCGAATCATCCCCTTCCTGTCCAAAAAGATATTTGTTATATTTTCATAAAGCTTGACTTGTAGATAGACTAGTTTCTTAATGAAACTACTGTTTTTACCTTTGTGTGCACCAAAGGTTCCAAAAGAATTACTCACATTGGGTATTAACCAAGAATAAACACATCTGCCTGAGGCAATCACTAGTTTTCTTGTAATATCTGAAGAGCATCAATGTTGAATTATATTTTAAACATAACTGCTGGCAAATGCCTTAACTTCTTTACATATTTTCATTAACTGTTAGTTATAAATATTCATAGTTTGGAGACGAACAGGTGAAATTTTGAACACATAGCAATTGTAGCCACACTCTACTTCCAGTCTTATATTTACTAAGTAAAGGATATACAGTGGTTGGAATAAGCTAGTAGTTCTAGAAAGCAGTATGTAATTTCTCAGGCAGAGTAATTTTTTTGAACGATGTTGCTGCTTCATAACTATTTTCACAAATTACTTGCCAAAATACATTTTACCAAGTTTTTTTTTTTTCACGAAATACCATGACTAACAGGGATACTGTCAAATAAAGTAAAACTAATAGGGGTTTGTTGTTGGTTGTTTGTCTTTCCAAAACTGTGGTAAGAATGTGATTTTCTTGTGTTAGTGAAAGACAATAGGACGTTTGCCCCCAGCTTTTTGAAATTAAACATTTATATGCAAGACTTAAAATCTAAACCCATATGGTAAATTAGTCTGTGGAAAAATAAAAAAGTTAACTGAATAAGGTGTTCAAGCATCTGTATATTGACAGAATCCCCTTTTAATTTCAAGTTTAAGGCAAAGAGCTTTTAAGATGATACTTTCCAAAGCAAAAGGACTTTAGAGTATCATTGCCAGTATACCTCAGGTCATTCTGGTGGCTTTGAATATTTACATTTTAGATGGCTTTAAATAACCACAAAGCATTCACAGTGCAGACTCTATTTCAAACTTAAATAAATTCACTTCAAGTACAGACATACAGTTCCATATTACTGGTTGAATTCTAATTAGGTATTTGTGTGCCCTTTTCTAAGTTTTCCCAGCCCAAATAACAATAATAAAACAAAGTGAATAAAAATGTAGGTGAACATTTCTTTAAAAAAAATCTGATTACCTCTGCTGCTGATTCAGTTCCCGTATTGTTAAAGTCATCAATCTATTAAATGAGAATTTCATATGATTATATTACTTTGGCTCTTTGCCTTAGATTTGCAAACATAGAACTGGAAATTCTTTTTGTATCAGTGATATGTATGTTGCACTTAAATTCACAGAGATGGTAATGATTGAACCTTTGTTGGAATACTCCAGATAGGTTAGCTTGTTGAGGAAGAGGCAACATGACATAAAACATCATATAGAAAGTATGCTAAAGCATTCTTAACACTTCAGTGATGAACTGAGAAGAGTACTTGAGATGTCCATTCTTCACTTAAGCATTCCAGAATTGTGTAGAAAGAAAAACTGCTAAAGCAAGTTCAGTGATTATTTCTGATTCTAGTGACCTTGTCTTCCTCTCAACTCCTGCAAAAAGCCTATTGCTGTATTTACTTCATATGGTGTCTTTATATGTTACCATCTAAAACTAACACACTTTCTAAGATTCTACATGGTATGTGCTCTGCCTTTGAGTAGATTAAATACATGCTAGATAGATTTCCAGTTAAAAGTCCAGTTTTAACAACGTTAAAAGTCTTATTAGAAAGTACTATCCAAGTCCGTGTTGAAAACTGACTCCTCCTATAGCACTGTGTTTCTTTTCTTACAACAGAAACAAACCAAAATCTGTCTTTTGGTTAAATAAAAATTTGCTTATGGTTCTAGTCTATCATTTAGGCGTTCATTTTCACTGCAGTATTTCCAGCACTGAAGAAAACTTACAAAAGGAATTAAATATGATACCCCAATGCAAAATTCTATGAAAGATAAAATTTACTTTACTGGCATCAACAAAAGTCGGCGTCTCTTCATGTATATATGCAATCAAGATTCACAAAGTGGCAAAGTAATAAAACATGATCTGAATCTTCATGATTTATGATTTACTGCATTAGTATATTCTCTTTTTTGTATGCTGATAGCATTTTCCTATTTCTTCTTGCTTGCCTCAGTTCATCTCTCACTGACTGCATTCACTAATGTCTACACAAAAATTATCTAAAGTCAGGGTTGGTAAGATATAAAAAACATTTTTAAATTAGTTAAGTAAACTCTATAAACTCTTGTATGCATATGACACCAAAATTTGTGCCTGATTCACATTCCTACCAGGTTTATGCTTGCCTGATTTCATCTGTATCTCAAGTTTACTGTTTAAAAAAATTGTTACCATAAAGAAGTGTAGATGAAGATTCTCTGAACATTATTCCCCACTTCCATCCCATTGAGCAACTCCTGTGTAAATCACCACTATCAGAAATCTTAAGATCAAATATTTCTGATCAATACAAAACTTTTTTTTTTTCTTGTGTCCATTATTTACAATTATATCCTGGCTGTTGTGATCAGATGAACATACCTCCTGTGCTTTTTTTGCTAATTCTCTTTGAATTTTTCTTTTCTCAATCATATCTTGTTCAATTCTGCGTTTTCTTTCTTCTTCCGTTCTTTTTCTTTCTTCTTCTTGCCTTTGCTTCTCCATTTCTGCAAACTTGCCTTTAACAGTTCCTGTGAATATGAAATGGACAGTTCAGTACTTACGTCTAATACTTACCTAGTGAATTATGTGGCCTTTAAAATCTGGCCTCTCTTACCTATGAGCTTTGGAACATAACCTTTTTCTATTTTAGATGATTTTGCATCATCATCTTCATCAGATCCAAGCAGTTCTTTCATCTAGTTGATGAAATACAGAAAGTAAACTGTCTTTATACTTTAAATAAAATTCCAATATTATTGTCTTAAAATATGAAAAGATTTTCACATATAGTATCAAATATTAAAATAACACAAAATATTTGCAAAGAAAATAACCTCCTGCTTTCTCCTGTTCCATTCTCTCTCTCTAACATATTGTTCTTTTCTTCTTTGCTTTTCATCTCTAGATCTCCTTTGATTTCTTTCTTCCCTTGCTTTCTGCATAGCTTCAAATTTATCCTTTACATCACCCTTGTGAAGCTTGGGCACATAGGATTTGTGGACAGGTTTAGATGAAGAAAGCAGAATCTTGGTGAAGATATAGAAGAAATGAAGATAAGAAAAAAGACAGTTGAAACAGATGGACAGAAATCATCTGACGGATTAGAAGGAATGTAAGAACATAAAACAGAAGTGCATTTGGGACTATGAACTTTATGCCACTAGCATCATCTGTTAAACATCATTATATTTGTTCATAAATAATAATAAATACTGAAATATCCAAACCAACATTTAGCATTGTATTAAACTTAGGCTGTAAGTAATTGTAGTGATGAGCTACTTAGCCGAGTATATGAACTATGTGAATGTACATTTTCAGTTACTATGGCTTTAAAAGTTAGATACAGATTTACATTATTGCTTTCAATCACAAGCAGTCACCAAAGAGCCTCTCTACCCCTAGCGTTAAAACAGATACAAAGACAAAGACATATAACACCATCTGTATGTTTTCTTCCGCTTCAAAAGAGCCATGTATGGTTCTTAAGTAAATAGTATTATTTGTTCATTTAAAACTTCCAATACATTATATATTTACTTTTTAGTAAGTATAGAAGTCCAGTTATTTTATGTTATAAAGTGTCAAGATATTGATACAGCTACTGGACACTTCTTTGCCCATGCTTACTCTGTGTGTGTCCAAAAGAAGTTCCCACTTCTCGGAACTACTGTGAAGTTTTCTCTCTTTTTACTGTAATGACTTCAGGAATGCTCTCAATACCATGATGCTGAGAAAACTGGCTGAAAACATTCCATGTTCAGATTTTCCACCTAAACCAATAGCTTTTGTTCCTGCTTTAGTTCTTGTTGTTCAGTGAGTCTACGTAGAAGAAATATTTGAAGTATCCCAATATTTACATTTTAGAATTAGATGTGAATGTTGCCCTGAATTCCCCCCACCCCAACATTTAAGGTTTCTTCATATTTTGTTACCTTTATTTTGTCTTCCTGCCTCATGGATTTTTTTTAATAACAGTAAAACCATATTTCACAGATTCCATGAAATCAGATGGTTTCCTTAAGCTACTTTTAAGTGTCCTTCCATTGTCTTAAAATAACAGCAGTACCAGCAGACTTCCAGTATAATTGTCTTTTACAATTGTTTGCAATTACTCTTTTTGCGAGCATCAGTTGTAAATTACTACATTACTTTGATTACTTTAAAATTGGTACATACCTCGGTTTTCTGTGCAATGTCATTCATGGCTGCACCTGGTATGTTTAAGATTGCTTTCAGTTTCTACCTGAAAGAAACAGTTGTAGTTATATTCCTTTCTTTTCCTTTTAAATGATGCTGTAACCATCTTCCTGTAAATAAGTTTGCATAGGCTGAAATCGATGTATCACAGTTTCATTTGGTCCTTTGAGGCTTCTGAAGACATGAATAGGTTCTAAGTATGCAACAGTAATTAAAAGAACAAGCTTATGATTCACTATTCATGCTCATAACCCTTCTATATAGTCCTAGATATTGGGTTTTAATTTCCACTTAAAAAAAAAAAAGAAAAAATAACTTGGAGCCAAGCTCTGGCTGCCCTGTCTGCTGCGTTACGAAACTGTTTTTCTCCATACTCACGCTCGCAGAAAGGAATGTGCTCTGCACCTCCACTGCTCCACTTCGGTCTGGTGTCTGAGCCAGCGAGCTCAGGTTGCGTGGAGGTTGCAGAGTGCTCAGGCCAAAACCCCACAGCCTCCTGGAGATGCTGCTTCGCCTTTGTATGGCTGGCAGGAGGGGAACGGCCGGGTGGCTGGGGGGACCTCCCTGCATTGCAGAGATGCAGCTGGATCTCCTGCCTGGGTGGATGCTCTTGCTTGAGTCTCAGCCTGGCTGGCAACTCTCAGCTGATACGGGAACACAAAATAATGCTTTCCCTTCTCCTAGGGCTATTCTAGGGCAAACTGGTGCTAAAAACGATGCAATGAGTTAGGTACGCTACATACATACCTTAGAGAAAGTATTTTTACCATTTAATTGTCGTGGGAAATTGCACTGCATTTTTTAAGAGAAAAGTGTTACAAGGTTTAAATTACACTGTATTTATTAGGAACCTAACAGAAAGACACTTCAAGCTCAGGCAAGCCTTTTCCTTCTCTCACCCCTTTTTTTTTTTTTTAAATCATGAGGTCTATCAGATCTTGTGGGAGGAAGGAAATCATGATGTAACTCCAGTGCCATTGCTGTCTACTGTACTGATGCCCTGAGTTCCAGGTAATCCTAAAAACTCAGTATGCCACACATGGTGCAAACAAATGGACTCAAAGGCTCAAAGTGAAAAGGCTAGAAAAGTAGCTTACTACTGGAAGGGACTTCTCACTTGTGGCTTAGAGGAACTGAAGTCACGGCATTTCATGATATGGAAAGTTCAGTTCTCAATAGTTCTTAGCCTTTAAGTTCTCTAATTCTTAATTACAAACATTATAAACATAGGTATTTTTATGTGGTGTTAAAAATAATGAACATTAAGAGTTGTTGTCACATAAGCCCTTCAGAAAATACCCTGATGTCATCAGCGCTCATGGGTGTTGCTGTAGCTATACGGATCAGATGAGATTCTTTGATATTTGTTTTTGCAAATGAAAGCAGTCACAACATATGAAACAACAGCATTTAGCTATCAATTCCTACCCTGATTTACAAATTCCAAACTCTTCAAATTCAGCTTCAACAGAGGTGTTCTGGAGAACACGCAGGTGTTCCTTTTCCACAAACGAGTATGGGAAGTCATTCCCCCCCAAATCGGAGTTGACAAATACCTCATTTGTAGACTGATAGGAATCCAAGGCATTTCAGTTTGTCACTTGTGAACACGTGAACACAGAAGTACTAAGTGTTCGTTCCTATTCAGACTATTTCAGATCAGCAATAGCATGTTAAAATTCTGTTGCGTCTAGAAAGGCAGATAACTTCACTAGCATTCTTGTGGTCTCAGGGTCCCCATACACCTTAATCTGCATTTGTATACTGTGCGCTTGGGTTTGCACATCTTTGTAAGCTTTAGCTTACTTCATGCATGGAAGTAAAATCCCCATTATGATCAGTATAACCTTAAAACTAGTTAAGATCCTTTTACTTCCTCATTTTTCTAAGCAGGTCTTGGAGAAGCTCTTTTCTGTGCTCTTCTTTTGCTTCTCTGCTTTTTTAAATTTATTCTTCCCTACTTGTGGCTGATAGCCTTGTACTTAAAATACAGAAACTGAATAAAAGGTTTACTGCATGAACCCATCAGAAAACAAAGGAATGTCATGCATTGGTACGACCCACGCACTGAAGTAGGCTGGGATGTAGAGACCTTCTAACCTTCATATAGGGCTGGAGCAGAAAAGGAATTCCATTTCACCTAGACACCTCAAGTGAAGGTTACTGTTAACCTTCACTGCAGCAACATACCTTATTCTATATGGCTTCATCTTAAAGTTATTTGAAAACTGACTCTTTCAAAGTCTGATTTGCTTATTATGTGCAATTAATTGTAGGAAGAAGATGGTATTTAAAAGTCTGAGAACACAATTTAGCTTTTGAGCTAAACCTTTGCCTTGAACCTTTCTGTTATAGCTCCAATTACCTGGACCCCTTGACAGTGTTACTAAGATTGCTGACAGCAGTGAGACCTACCCTCAGACAACAAATCTGAAAATTTCTTTTAACAGTGCAATTGTTGGAAGAAATTTTCTTTGTAAATTCCTGCTGTCTGAACTTCCAAAAACATGCCAGTCCAACAGGTTGTGGGTCCTCAAGATGGCAGGTATGTTTCTGCCATTTGGGTTACTGCCATATCTGCTATTACTTTAGGCTACTTTCCAGTTCTTTGGTGTCGCTAACTCTTAATATGCTTGAAGGTTAGCCAGCTGGCTCTAAGACATTTTGCATCTGCGAGTCATCCTACCTCCACCTTTGATAGTGAAAGATATGGATATAGGCAGTAGAGCATTACTAAACATAATACCACCCACTTTCTTCCCTCTCCGTGGCAGTTAAACCTTGAGCAGGAGCAGCAGCAGGACCCTGCCTCAGGGACTCCGCAAAGCAGACGAGTAATTTCCAATAAAGACGATTTAGTACCTTCAAGAAAAAAAAGCAGCACTCCTTGAGTTTTGGCTTGGGTCTGTGAGGCTGGGACCACTGCTTCAGGAACAAGAACAGCTTTGTATCTGCCTTATCGTTAGGAGAGGATCCACTCAGTCAATGTATTGTTGCTGAGAAAACCAAAGTGGCTAAGTCAAGAAGTCCTGACACTGACAAATCGTGGAAGAACAATCCCTTCATCATCTGCCAATAGCTTCACACAAAATATGTGGTAATAAATTTTCCAACCCAAGAAACTTTGACATATTTTACTTTCTAACAATAGCTACTTTTAAATAAGATATTTTCCTACCAAGTCCCTTTTGAGAGGAACTGGTCATATATTTAAGTTGGATATACATCCTTGTTTTGTAATAATATTTTTCCCACAGAGTTCATCTAATACAAGTAATGCTTATTCTTTGAGGCAACAGGAGTCTACTTGTGTATGTTGTATATATACTTACCTCAGAAGAGATTCATCCTCCTATTATGAAGCTGCCCAATCTTAAGATTCAGTCTCATCTTTTATTTCCTGAGATCAATGTATCTCAGGAAAAGCTATAAGAACTCCTCATTGAAGCTTCCCACTCAGAAAAATCCCAGATTATAATGTCGAACATACCAATGATGAAAAAGTGAATTGAGCTTATTACTAGGCTTTTCTTTGCCTATTCATTCTCATCACTCTAGCATTTACTTGACACTAGTCTATTTTTTTTCTCCACATTTTACCTTTCTTACGATTAAATGAGATATCTCAGAAAATGTTAGTCTAGTGTTGTAATGTTTATACTGAAAGCACTAGATTGCAGTTCCACTTTCAAAGGAGGTCTACATTGAGATTTTTCCTAGAACATAAATTTAACCTCCATCCTTTGATCACTGGTCCTACCTCTGGAACTGAATAGAAGAGAAAATACCATTACTAGAATGGCTTGACTGGCTGTAATGCAGAGTGATCTCTAAGAAGTTTCAAGTGAAGACTTAATACAAAACCAGTAATGCACAGGACACTGGGCAATAGATCAGAAATACTCTGAAAAAAAAAACCAAAAACGAAACCCTGCTGTTTTCAAGCATCCTATTTGTTTGCTGTAAATGGGTAAGCTATCACCTCCAATATGTCTTGATTTGTTTGGATCATAGCACTTTTTCAACTTTTCACCCACACTCTCTAAAACCTCACTTTAAAGCAAAACAATCAAAGTGAACAAAGGAAACCATTAAAGGGACACAGAAGGTTTGATGGCTCACAAGTCCCCAAATCCCTCTCCTTAAACTTAATTAAATTCCATTTCTGAAAGGAGGTTGGAGTCCTCTATTGATCAAAAAATGTTGTTAACAGCTTTAACTGAATAAAAAAATCTCCCATAAATAATAAAGCTCCCCTTCATTAGAAAACATAGAAGTTCTTGATTTTCAGTGGAGTGATTAACATCCTTACACTAGACACAGAAAAATACCGTCGTTTTCCCGAACCAAACACTACTCTTTACTACATGAGTACGAAGCCAGGACTTTAAAAAAGTCTGGTTTCTCTGTGATTTCTCCTTTTGGGAGGCCCCCCTGCTGTCCTATGGCTACTGTGAGTTATAAATAAATCCTTCGCCGCACAGTTGAAGTTACATTTACCATCTGTCTCCTCTTTGTGATCTACTTGCAGGAAAGACTCCATTATATAAGAAAACCATATTGTGAGAGTTGGAAACTCACCACTTGCAGCCAAAGCACCCAGGAGAGGAAAACAGAGTCCACAAAAGTTAAAATATTTAACGAAATATTAAATAGAACTGGAAAGAGGAGGGGAAAGAGAGCAATGTTCGTCATTTATGTTCTCACTGTAACTCATCTGCAATGACACTACCAGTTGTTGTACTAAATTACAGATACTAAAGTAGATACTAAAATTATCCTGCATAGGGAAAAAAAAGGCATAAACCGTCAGCTCCACTGAAGCCAATCGGTTATGACAATGAACACCAGCTGTCTAAACTTCACATTTTGCAAAATATGAAACACAAAACTACTTCCACTCGCTTGTATTCCTTCATTAATTCTTTATAATTAAAGACTAGAATGCTTACCAACAATTGACCCAGATAATTTGATTTCATACACAATCTTTTCTTCAATCTTTT